CTTAGTAAATTCCAGTCTCGCGTTTTGTGATTTGTCGAAAGTTACTATATGCTTAATTTTCCCTTCTCCATTTTCTTTTCTGATGGTGTTTTAGTTCTTCAGCATATAGAAATGTCCTATGTCGTAGAGATATTATGTTTGTATGTTCATGGTTGTGGATGTATCTTCTCCATCACAGCTTCTTTTACTACTTGTTTAATTTGAGTTGTTCTGATTTATGAGCCTTACCAAATTTTCTTTATATTCTTTTTTGTTAATTGACTGCAACTTGTTTGAGTACTTTATTCAATTTGAGTACGTCTGATATTTTGGACTCTGAATAAATGAGGCCAATTATTCTACAGTTTTGAATAACAGGAGTGTTTCTGGTGGAGTTAAAATATGGAACTTAATAAAACATTGCATATCACTTTTTCCTAAACTATTCCATGTGTTTTGAAGGGATTTTTCCCATTTAGGCTCATTTGCTGGTTTATTACCAATCTTAGACAGGTTTCTATTGGTGATAGCTTTCTTCACTTCCTTTGGAAATTATATATATCTTGCTTCCTTCTTTCCTTCTCGTTTTTAGTTTGGTTTCTCTGTAATATGCTAAAATTGGAGTTCATGTGTAGGTCTTATCAGCTTTCGGTTTAGTGCACAAGATTGTTGCATTTCAGAAGGCTGCTGATTTTCAGGTGAAGATTTGATGAAGAATTTATTTATTTTTCATTCAGCTGGCTGAATCTGTGTCTGCAGCCTGTGCCTATGACACGCTTATATAACATATTTCTTTCGCGTCTGATTCTTCAATTTGTTTATTCAGTCTTCCGCGTTCCTCCCCACCTAAGTTTTGTGCATTGCTGGAAATTTCGTCCTTGCTGATTGTTGTAATTTTCGCTTGTAATATTTTTTGCTTCCGCTGTTGCGCTAGATGTTCCTGATACTTTTACAACAAGGTTTTGTTTGAGTGATTCTGTTGCACAAAGATTAATTTAGATTATGTGTAAATGCATTGGTATTCTTTTTTAATTACTACATTTACTGGGTATTGCCACCGCGCCTTGCGCGGTGCCCATGACTAGTATATATATATAATCTAATGTATGCATAAATGAGCAGAATCATGAGATATGTTAATAGACAAAAATGCCCCTAATACAATTAAATTTTGTGCTGAGTTTGCATGAATGAATGAATGCAGACACTGGTAGCAGTAAGAGAAGTGACGAAGGAAATAATGAGAAAGAATCCAGATTTCTTCCCCATTCAGCCTTTCGATTACCGCAGATTACTCGTAATTTCACTGGGCACAGGCTCTGCTAAACAAGAAGAGAAATACACAGCAAAAATGGCGGCAAAATGGGGAGTTTTTGGCTGGTTATTTCAACGAAATTCAACTCCTATTATCGACGTCTTCAGTCAGTCTAATCAGGATATGGTGGATTATTACTTATCCGTCGTTTTCCAGGCCCTTCAATCCCAGGATAATTATATCCGTATCCAAGTACTAACTAATAATGTTTTTTTCTTTTTCATTAATTAATTTAATTAGTTTCATTTATAATACTAGTAATAATTTAATAAATGACACGTGCAGGATCAGTCGTTGACTGGGTCAACCTCCTCCGTTGATGTTAGCACAAAGCGGAATCTGAATGATCTTATAAACATCGGTCAAAACTTACTGAAGGCTCCTTTCTCCAGAGTTAATCTGCAAACAGGGAATTCTGAACCTGTTATCAATGGAGGCACAAATGAGGATGCTTTGAAAAAGTATATTCTTTTTCCATCTAATTAATTAATTGCATTATTTTTTTATGTTTATTATTATTATTTTTAATTTCTCATATTGGAATATTTTAATTTAATTTATAGGTTTGCGAAGTTGCTATCTGATGAACAAAAGCTCCGTAAGGCTAACACACAGCAGCAGAGCAACTAGGCATGCATGTTGTCAAGCTATATATATTATAAATTAAATAAATTAGTAACAAAACAAAAAAAAAAGATTTTTATCATATATATATAAATAATACCCAATACATTTATTATTCCATTTTGCTTTATTAGTGATAGCCTCATATCATAATTGATAATATAATATTATGTTTTTATTAAATTATTAATTGTTATGTCCATATTGCCCCCACGCCCATTCAAACTAACCCTAGTTGTTTCATTGTTTTCGAATTATACTATTTGTTTTAGTTGATTTTGGATTATGCTATTTGTTGTAGTTGATCTCAATAATATTTTAGCTAATTTTTGATTTTTTTTTTTTTTTGTAGTTGATTCCGATAATATGTACTGATTTTCAATTTTGGTAAATCTGCTGATGATTTTGTATTTGTTTACGATAATTTTATAGTTAAGTCTCGAAAAAACGAAAGAAAATAAAAATAAAAAAATTAAAATAACATCAAAGTAGTGGCTATTATTATTAAGGTTTGGCAGTCTATAATTTTGAAAGCCTTAATTAATTCAAATAACAGTGGGAAAAAAAAAAGATAATACAAGTTACGTATAGGGCTTATATATATATATATATATATATATATATATATATATATATATATATATATATATATATATATATATATATATATATATATATATATATATATATATTAAAATTGCATTCAAACGTACAGGGCTTGTATTTGTATACAATACAAGTCTAGCAAGAAAATTAAAAGTTGAGGGGTAACATTATTAATTTGTATTTTCCTCATAAAATAATAAAACAAAACCCTACATGTATTAATGTAATCTCGTGTAGTAATTAGTATAAATTTTAAGGATAGATGCGATCTATATATGGCTTCTCTGTAAGTAGTTGCCTACCTCTTGCTTATGCACTACGTAATTAATTAATTAATTTAAACGGATTAGTGCAACTCTTATATATGTTCATCTTAATTAACTAAGTCAATGGAAACTCGGCCTTGGTCAACATTCTTTTGCAATTAAAATTTGCCAAACTGACTCTAATTTAACCATTTTTACTTAATTTTGCAGGAAAGTTTCTTCGATGCGTGGCGAAGCACGATTTCGATTTACATACCTTCAACTATATATATTTATATTGGAGCAAACAAAATTATCTCAATTAATTTAAAGACTTTGACATTCCTTTCAATTATTACTATCTCGATTAATAATAATTATGGCATCTTCTTCGTCGTCGTCTTCGTTCAAGAAAATCAAACCTCCGCCAACTAATGGAAATTTAATCACCATTCTTAGCATCGATGGAGGTGGCATCCGTGGAATTATTCCCGCCAAGATTCTTGAATTTCTTGAATCCGAACTCCAGGTATATATAAATCCATTCTATATATATTTTCCGGCATTTTAATTATGCCATTTATTTTTTAAAACTTATGATCCTAATAATGTTTATATTAGATATTGGATGGCGAAAATGCTCGAATTGCAGATTACTTTGATGTTATTGCGGGAGCAAGTACGGGTGGGTTTGTGACAGGCATGCTGACGGCTCCGGATGCTAATAATCGTCCGTTGTATGCTGCTAAAGATGTTACTCCGTTTTACGTGACGAACGGGCCCAAAATATTCCCACAGTCGATGTATGTACGCGATTAATTAAATTTATAAAAAAAATATCTAGTTTTTTGTTTTGTTTTACTTATATCTAAATTAATTTGATGATCGTGTTTGGATCGCATAATTATGTACATGGTCGATTTATTGTTACGTATGTACAGGGGTTGTGTAGGATCAATCGGAAGCCTACTTACTCGATTAGGAGGGCCAAAGTACAATGGAAAGTACTTGCACAAGTTGATAAGGGATAATTTAGGGCAAACTAGGTTGACTCATACCTTAACAAATGTTGTGATTCCCACCTTTGATATCAAGAATATGCAGCCAACTATCTTCTCTTCTTATGAGGTCTCTCTCTCTCTCTCTCTCTCTCTCTCTCTCTCTCTCTCTCTCTCTCTCTCTCTCTCTCTCGTGATTATATATATAATTTGCATGGATAACTATGAATGCAGGTAAAGAATTTGGGATATATGGACGCACTGTTATCAGATATATGCATCGGCACGTCGGCGGCACCGACATATTTACCGGCATATCATTTCACAAACGCTGATGCCTCCGGCAAATCTTGGGACTTCAATCTTATTGATGGCGGTGTAGCTGCTAATAACCCGGTATTTTTTCTTTTTCTCTGACTATATAATTTATTACAATTGGATTTTAATTTATATATGTTTTCATAATTAATTTAATTGGAATACATATTAAATTCCCCGCTACAATCCTAGTTTTTAATTCCCGAACATAATTTCGAAAATCATGTTTTTCTCCCTAAAAATTACACTTGTAATATGAATATTTTTATGATTTTATATTAGGGGCCTGACGGAAGTATGGAGATTCTGAATTCTAGCAATTCATATCGGAAAATTTTCATTTCGGGAACAAATATTTCGTTCCGATTTCATATATATTTTTCGGATTTTTTAAAACAAAATTGGAATTAGTGTCACTTCCAAATACAAAAAAAAAAAAAAATAGAGAAAAAAAGAAGTAGCTGAATTTCTTTCCAAAAGTGTTGAATCTAATTCAATCCCTGTGATTTCTACCGCTAGGTTTTCTACATTGTAAATAAGTATAATTTTTGTTATATAGTCTCATGTATACCATAGATAAACCAGAATGAGATAAATAATATTGGTCAAATTACGAAAGAATCCCTCTTACTTAGGGTCAACTACGTATTTTCTTTCGGAAAAAACCCCTAATTCAGTTGATAAATTTAATACCGTAAAGATGAACGTGTAAGACAATACATAGTGGATGGTGGTTGTAATTACTCAAATAACGGGGTTTTTTTTTCCGTAATTTAAAATTATTTTAGAGGGTGACAAATATTTAATATGACAAAAATGCCCCTATTATATATTAATGCAGACACTGGTTGCAGTAAGAGAAGTGACGAAAGAAATATGGAGAAAGAATCCAGATTTCGTGAACATTCAGCCATTCGACTGCAGCAGATTACTTGTAATATCACTGGGCACAGGCTCTGCTAAACAAGAAGAGAAATACACAGCAGAAATGGCGGCAAAATGGGGAATTCTCGACTGGTTAATTCATGCAAATTCAACTCCTATTATCGACGTCTTCAGTCAGTCTAATCAGGATATGGTGGATTACTTCTTATCCGTCGTTTTCCAGGCCCTTCAATCCCAGGATAATTATATCCGTATCCAAGTACTAACTAATTAATGTTTTTTTTTTCTTTTTCATTAATTAATTAAATTAGTTTCATTTATAATATTAGTAATAATTTAATAAATGACACGTGCAGGATCAGTCGTTGACTGGGTCAACCTCCTCCGTTGACGTTACCACAGAGCAGAATCTGAATGATCTTATAAACATCGGTCAGAATTTACTGAAGGCTCCCTTCTCCAGAGTTAATCTGCAAAATGGCAATTATGAGCCTGTTCCTAATGGAGGCACAAATGAGGATACTTTGAAAAAGTAAATAAAATAATAATAAAAATATATCATTTAATTAATTAATTTTGTTATTTTTATAATTAATGAATAAGATTCTCATGGTATATTGTATAGGTTTGCGAAATTGCTATCTGATGAACAAAACCTCCGAAAGTCAAACACACAGCAGCAGAGCAACTAGCTGCATTTTGTCAAATTTATTATTGGTTTATTTATTTTTACATTTATTATTTGTTTATTCTGTAAAAATAATTTATTTTCAAGAATAATACTTCCTTCCCCTCGTAGGGGAATTTTTTTTTTTTTTTTTTTTTTATTTCTTTATTTGGGTTTTATTTACATTATTCCCTTTTTCCAATGAGATTAAATTCTGAGCGGATCAGCCGATATTTAATATAAATCGGACTCCACAATTTTTTTTTTTTGGCACTCTTATGTCTTAACTCTTAATAAATCACACTGATTATAATTAGAGTTAGATGTGTTAGATTCTGCTGGGGTTTTCTTTTTCCTTTTTTTTTTTTTTTCAATTATTAGAATTCTAATTATATTTTTATTTAAATTATCCACGTGTCAATCATCCTATAACATTCGATTTTCCTATTAAAACATACCATCCGGTCTAAATTTGCACCATTTTCCAATTGTTATACTTTGTTTATAATAATTTATTGCATGTATTTATTGATTATTAAGCAATTTTTATTTTATATATTATTGTAATTACAATTTTATATGATGTGGGCCTCTTGGGCCTTATCATTTTACATGACCACACAATCAAGCCCATATTATGCCCAACCAAAATAAACCCTATAAATATATGTCAAAGTTTGTTTGAATTTGTATTTAACTTTTAAAGTTGTATTTGAGCTTGGTTTGACGTTAAATCAATTAAGCTGAGTTCGAACGATATTCAATCTAGTTGAATACAAATCAAGCTTGATTAGCTTCGACATTTTGGACAATGATTTGTTTTCTTTTTAATCAAGCTTGAGTCCGTGTCTAACTAAATGGAACTCAAACAAACTTGTAACCAACAATCTTGAATTAATTATAGAGTAGTTAATTTATTTTCAGCTCTACTTGAGGCCACATATCAAACATCATGTCCAAGAAACAGACGAGCAATTCATCGACCGCTCGATTTAAAAAAAAGAAATTTACAATTGATTCAACGATTGAAATCGAGAAATCGTATAAATCGAAACAAATAATGTAACTTAAATCATAAATAGAAATTTTTGGACAACCATGCAAATAGAGGGGCAACAATGGAATATGGGCCTTTTGTAGTAGGTAGAAATCATGTCAAGCTTTATACACATAAAACCTGGAGAGTATCTTTTGGCTGTAACCCAAAATCAATACAACCAAATTCGGCCCCATAATCTGTTATTTATTTATTTCAATTTAAAAAGTGAAAAAAATTAAAATAAAGGGGTTTGGGTGTAAATAAAAATAAAAGGTAGGACCCACATTGAAAAGGAAAAGAAAGATCATATGCTACCATCATAAAATTTGGGACCCCATTATTATTTATCATCATTAATCTATGATGGTTTTATCCCCACGCCTATTTTCATACAATTATTGCCTCCTCGAATATTACTTCTTTTTCTTTTTTTTTTTTAATTCAATTTTGCTTTTTTATTTATTTAAAGATTGGATGGTCCAAATGTACAAAAGTCATAAATTGTAATGTGTACCCAAAATTAAATATTTATACAAATTTAGGTCCCCCACCAAATATACCACATGGCTACCATGCACTATTGGACCATTTTGAATTTACTTTAGCATGCATATGAATTGCCTTCTTATCCTTTTATTTCAACAATCTTTTACCAAAATGCCACCTTTGTCCCATATTAATATATATATTGTAATTTAGTGGTTTAATTTTTTCATTAATTATATAAATATGTGGTCCAATATAATATATTTTTTCTTTTATTGACAATTTCAAAACGAGTATATACGAATTTCTCACTAATTGTTAAATTATTTCCAAGAAAAGGGCCACAGGATAAGAATTTCTCTGTTACAAGACCACAATGAATATTCAATTCAATTAATTCGAATTCATTTAAGAGGCTGGACCATTTAATTTGAGAGCTGCAAATATCATACTGGACCAGTGAATAATTGTGCAATGTTTCATTGCATTTAATTTACCTATTTACACTACTTGGCAATTCCAAATCAAAATATGTAAATCCCAATAAATTAATCATAAGTAATATATAATGAACTATCGATTTCATAATTCTAATTTTCCTTATTTTTACAGTGACGGGTTCATTTTGGTAGGATTGGGCCGAACTCCAAAAACTAAGTTTATTGGTCCAAAAATCTAATGAATAACAAGAACCAAGGCGGGGCCACATGCTCGCCCATGAAGAGCTTAACATATGCAGTTCGCTGTCATGTAACTCACATGGATATAGTCCACTGCTCCGCTACATCTCGGCTCGTATATAGGGAGTAGCAGAAAGTGACATGTGGCGAGCTGAACGTGAGTCGCTAGAAGCAGACGGCTTTACGTTGCATAAATCCTGTTCACATAAAATTCTTTTTTTTAATTTATAGCTAAACTGATTGTCACAATTTTCAAATTTTATTACAATCATCACATGGCCCATGCTGTCTAATTTGGATGTACTAAACTATATTAGTCCAAGGATTGAATTTCACCATTTAGCTACTTCATTACAATTTCCCAAACCCCCTTAATCAATGCTTAACATTACTTATAGTTCCAAAGTCTTCATTTTATTTAATATACTGGGACCAGCTGAATTCTATTAATCTAACAAAATATTTTTTGGCACGTCGTCTTCGAGTTGAGATCAAGAAAACATATTATTTAAATAAGATTAGCGATTCACCGAGTTTCTACTGTATATTGCTACTTATATTTATGTTCACAAAAAAAAAAAAAAAAGTGTATCGCATAATTTTTTTGGCAATTTACGACCACTCCATAAGGTTAAGTTAAATTACAACCACCCTCGACTCTTACAGTGTCTTACAGTGACAAATTTACCAACTGAATAAGGGTTTTTACGTAATTTAACATTAACTCAGGGGTTTTCCGGTAATTTGCCCTAATTTTTTGTCATTAAATTAGTCAAACTAGCTTGAGTTTGAGTTAACTTTGGTCTTCAGTCAAAGAGTATCAATAATGTGTAGGGGGGCTGTGTTGACATATGGGCATAGACTTGTTATAATTTAGAATTGTACTATTTCAAAAGTCAAACTAAATGGATTCCTTGGTTGACTAATTTCATGACTAAGTGGTCTGAATGTTTCAAGTTTTTATTTTTATTTTTATTTTGTATCAAACTCCAAACACTCAAATTATTGCTTAATAAGTTTAATTTTATATATGAAAATAATAATATTATTTTTATTAAAAAAAATAAAAATAAATAAATAAATGCAAAGAGAAGCAGCAGGGGCAAAAACGTCAAAAAAAAAGTTTGGCGTGCATTAACGGCATAAAGCTTCAAAAAAGAAAGAGTTGCCCAGTAATCACTGTTACACTCTGTCAAACAGTGGTATCCACCACACCATTACACTGTACCCACCGTTCACCACCCCCCACCCCCCTACTCCTACCCCCGAC